GTTAGCAGCCCGCGCTCAATCCACTGAGCTATGCCAGCCAGGGCTCGATTGAATCTTTGATGGGCGCTTTATTCAGATGGCTGGCGATCCGATAAGATGGCGATAAGATGGCGGGTTCATGGCCCAACAAAACCATCTTCTCTTCTCTTTCCTGGCCAGCTCTTTTACAAGGGGGTGGGGAGGACAAGCAAGGTGCGGTGAGGGCTTTGAAATTCAAGGAGGACTGGGTGAGTGAAGCTGCAGCCTTCCTGTTCTCGGCAGTTAGCTGTTCCCAAGGCGGGGGTGGGTCACACCAAAGGCCCGGATGCCTCCGACATGTCCCCAGGCGGTAATCTCTGGCCAGGGCCCCAGGAGGTTGGCTGCTTTCCCCAGGAGCCAGGATGGGCCTTATCTGTAGTTTCTGAAACAAAAGCTTAACGTGCGCATTACTTGCTAGACTTGTAACTTTTTACCTTCAGCTAAAATTTTCCAAGTCTTGAGTCCCCTGTCAAAACCACCTGGGGTCTAAACCTCCAGTGCCTCCCAGGTCACATGCTGGGGACACTGTCCCTTGCCAGAAGCACCCAGGCAGGGTCCCGGACACCCAGGGACGGCCCTTCTGCCCCAGAGGGCACCCAAACGATGCAAACCGGCCCCAACTGGACCTGCTCGCCCTGCCTTCCCAGCTCCTTCCCGTGGAAACCGCAGCCCAGGCCCCTGCTTGCTGCCTGCTGATCCCGGGTGGCCCCCGCGTCCCTGTGTCCCTTGCCTCCCCTCCCATGTGGCAACAAACCGTGATGCCAGAGGGGGTCGTGTCCTGATCTGTTGGCCTCACGACACCTGAGTGGTAATAAAACCCACACTTTAAATTGGAGAAGGGACGCCCGTGTGGAGGGGCCATCCCAGGAGACGGGGGCGGCGTCACCGGGCCCTCCTGCGGGCCGAGGCTGCCGGCAGAGGACAGGCTCCGCGCAGCAAACGCCACCCTGCCCAAGGGGCCGAGGAGGGAGCCAGAGCTCAGAGGGGTGGCCCTGCCTGCCGGGGCTGGCACGGTGAACTCTCAGTAACACTGGGTGTCTGTCACTCAGGAATGTCAACACGTGCTGACAGGGGAGGGGACAGCCGGGCCGTGTGTGGGGCGCAGGTGCAGAGGGCAGGCAGTTTCCCCAGGTCGGGGCTGGGGGTGGGGGGGGCATGAGCCCAGACCTCCGGCCCTGCCTCCCGGAACAGCCGCCCCTCCCCCCCACACGGAGCATGCTCTCTGAGCCTCTGGAGGCCTTTCAGTCTGAACTGGATGCTCCCGGGAGACAGAACTCCCAGGCCTCGGGGATCCCTCCCCTACGGGGAGCCCGGCGCACCCACAGCAGCCCCAGGTGGGGGGGGGTGTGCAGGGGCGGCCCCCTGAGACAGCTGGGCTTATAGACTCAGCCTCAGGCCGGCCCTTGAACAGAACACACTGCTTTTTCGGAGAGTTGGGAAGTTTCAGAGGGTTGGGAGGTTTTCTCAAGGAGAGCACTCCTTGTCGGATGACACACCGGCTTTAATGTCAAGGCATGGGTTTGACGGGAGGACGTCGAGAGTTTCCAGTTCTGTGCCTTCCGTCACCCTGGGAGGAGAGAATTTTCCGGAAGGCAAGACATGTCCGCATGCCATAGAGCTACGTGTGTGAACACGTGGCCGCCACCGCAACCACGGCGAGGACGGCCCACCACGACCTGCCCGGCGAGGTCACTGGCCGCAGAGGCCCCTGCTCTCGTCCACGTGGCCGTGTCCCTGGGCTGGAGGGGGTTTAGACACGTCGGCACTCGGAACAGGCCTCGCCTGGCCCTGCTCGCGGTTCCTGCTCAGCAAGCGTCACAGCTGTCCCCGGTCCGGCCCAGGGCTGCACTGGAGCCTTTCCGGGCCCGGGGTCCCCGTCCCCGGACCAGGAGCCTGGGGCCTGTGCCCAGTGGGGCTCCCTCTCCCACTGTGTCCCCCTCCGAGTGCTGGCTCCGTGACAGCCCCCGTGCAGTGTAAGTGCACTTCAAAACTCCACCTCGAGGAAGTGACCTTTGTCCCTCCGAGGTCACTCCTGGAGAGGTGCGTGACAGCACCTCTTCTGGCCCTGGGCTTTTCATTAGGAGCCTGGGTGTAGGGCAAGGTCTTCTGACTCCGTTCTGCACATGAACACGGTGGGCAGGGCTCCCCAGGGGGACGTCTGAGTGTCCTGGTGGCCGTCTCAGTGGAGGCGGGAGAGGAAGCCCAGAGGCTCCTGCAGGTTGTGGGGCAGCCCCGCGCTGCCGCGGCCCGGTCTCCGCTGAGTCGTCTGCAGGAAAGTGGGGCAAAGGGCACCCGGGCTCTGCTCACCTCCCGCCGCCCCGGGGGCTGAGCCCCGCCCCCAGGAAGTGGTGGAGGAGGCCTGGGAGCCTCTGTGGGGTGCAGATGCTGGCCAGGAAACCACCAGCAGCTGCTCCTGCCGCCAGCTCCGCCCGCTGGAGTCACGGCAGCCCCCCCATGGTGAGCTCTGCTGCCGGCTGCCAGCTGCCCGCACAGCAGCACAGCGCTTTACCTGTTTGACCTTCTCCTGTTTGACCCCCTCGCCCGGCCCGCAGAGGCCTGCTCTGCGTGGAGCCGGCAGCTCCAGTCCCGCCCAGGCACCCGCGGCCACCCCCCCCCCAGTGGGAAGTGGGGTTCTGGTGGAGACATTCATTCACTCATTCATTCAGCGTGCTGCCTGCATGTGTGCCGGGCCAGGTGTGGGGTGACGGTGGCTGTGGGTGCGCTCGTGAGTAAAGCAGGTGCACACACTCCTGGCTGCGGCTGGCAGTGCAGGGGTGAGGCAGGCGAGAAGCTCAGGCCAAATAAGCACACACCCCGACACCAGGAACAAGACGGGGAGCAGACACAAGGACGAGGAGGGGCCCCCTGAGACGGGGAGGCCAGGGCAGCCCCATCGGAGCTGGTGGCATGTGCCCGCAGCAGCCAGGCATGCTGGGTGGAGACTCGAAACCCTCGTGCCTAATCCCTGGGCTGTCCGTGGCCCCAGTGTCCCCCTTCTACCCTGTCCTTCCATGCCCAGCATGTGCTGGGCTTGCCTGGGAGGCGCTGGGTGACACAGCCTCGGGCCCGGGGCCCCTCCTGGCCTGGCCAGCCCTGCAGCCCAGGAGAGAAGCCGGGGTGAAGACTGGGGCTGCCACGCGGCCTCAGGGGCTGGGTGAGACCGAGGTGGGTGCTGGCCGGGGCAGTGGCTGGGTTAGTGGGAGGGGAGGCGAGCGGGTGCCCTGAACAGCGAAGCATCCTTACGAATGTGGGAAGGAGGGATCTGGCCTGGGGGGCCCCAGCGGGCAGCTGGGATGGGACAGTGAGTGCCGGTGTGGTCAGAGCGTCCAGCCAACCCCAAAGTGACCCGCGGCGTGGTGGGGACATCCGCCCAGAACAGCCGCGTCAGGAACCTGCAGGGGACATCTACACTCTGCTGAGAAACTGACCTGCTCTATTTCCCCCAGTTAAGTGATGCCATCAACCTGATCTTTTCCTTTTTTAATACTTGTTTTTAGAGAGAGGGAAGGGAGAGAGAGGGAAGGGAGAGACGCCAACGAGGGAGAAACTTGGATCGGCTGCAACCCAGGCACCTGCCCTGATCGGGAATCGAACCAGTGACCTTCCACTTTGCAGGGAGCCACACTCGTCAGGGCCATTTCTTCTGTCTTTAAAAATTGTGGTGTGGTGTCCATGCCCTAAAACTCACCATTTGTGACAACTCAGTGACACTCACGTTGCCCCACCCTCACTGTTCCTGGCTTTTCCAAGGCCCTCACACAGAAGCCCTGCGCCTGTGAGGCCGGCCCCGCCCCGCCCCGCCCCGCCCAGGGAACCTGTCCGTCTCTGCGTCTGCCCACGCAAGCCATGGAGCACTGTACAGTGCTGGGCTCAAATCCAAGGCCCGTCGGCGTCGCGGCGGTCAGCGCTTTGATCGTTTTCCCTGGACACGAGTCATGTCTGCCCCTCTGCGAATGATGCCGGGAGCTGTGTTTGGAAGGAGAGACAGTCACCGGCTCGGCTCCCATGTCAGTGCTGGGTAGGCACAGAGCGGGGTCGGGCCCCCCTGGGGAACGCAGGGAGGTCTGACAGGCGCACTTCCCCCGCACGCGGCGGGTGGGGAAGTGGAAGCTCGGAACTTGGCTGAGACCACGCACGGCTTGCGGGTCTGCGGCGCCAGACCCCGGGACGCCGCGCTGCTGACCCCGGCGGGCTTTTCGGAATCTGCTCTCTACTTCCAGCACGTGAATGTGCATTTCCAACCATGTGGGCGGGGAGTCCAGTCCAAACGTTACCACCCGCCCAGGGCAAGCGCAGGACACAGTGCCAGGCTGGCAGAGGGCGAGCCAGGGCGCGCGGGAAGCCAGTAGAATCGCCCCAGGGCAGCGCCACAGGGCACCCCGCCTCCCCGGGTTGTCCCCGCCCCCAGCCAAGCAGCCTGGGAAACAGTGCGGCTGCCGGTCTCCTCCTGCGGGACTATCGCCCCCTGCCGTCCACGGAGGGCACTGCCTGCCGGGCAGGCCGAGTCCCCGGGGCTGGGCCAGCGTCCTGGCAGCCTCACTTGGGACCTCCAGGGGTGGTGGGGAGAGGCGGCTGGGTCAGCACTGTCTTAGTCTGTTTTCTGGTCCCCACACCCCAGGGACGGTCCCCCAAGGACTCCTGAAGGAGTCTCACCAAGGAAGTGTTCGCTGAGCCATGTCACTGCAGAGCCCTAACCACCCCCCCCTCCGGCCAAGACAGACACAGGGGCTGGGAGTCCAGAGCCTCTTCCTCCTCCGCACTCGCTCCCCAAGGCCCTCTCCGCTCCCCTGGCTGCCATGGGCTCGGGACACACCCCTTCTTCCTGGGTTAGCTGCCAGCCCAACCCCCCAAACCCCGGGGCCACGCGGCAGGAGCAGGCTCAGGCTGGGGCCCACCCGCACGGGACTGCGGCGCCGGGACACAGAGACTCGGACTCCTGGAAAAGGGTTTATTTCCCGTGTCCGTGGAGGTCAGCGCGGCGGTCAGCACAGACTCGGGGCGATCTCGATGCTGTTTATCCGGAGGACGGTCTGTGGGTTCACAATGACTGGAACAGAGAGGGGACGCGGTTATAGAGGACCCCAAACTCCGACCCGGTTCATCAGCCGCCGAGAGCCCCTGTCCCCGACGCCCGCCCGCCCTCCCCACCAGGCGCTCTGCCCTGGACCAGCCCTCCCTGGGCGGCCCCGGGGCAACGCCCCGAGTCTCCCACGGCCCTGTGGCCACGTGCAGCGAGAGGTGTGTGCTGACCACTCAGCCCACTCGCCCCGTGAGCCCTGCTGGAACCACAGAGGCTGTGAAGCCTGGGGACCCGGAGCACCCTCGCTGCAGCCCCCAGCCTCTGCCCCTGCACCATGCCCACTTTGAGACCCTGGACTGCAGCAGTGGGGGGAGGGGGGGATGCACGGCCCCATCTGGCTGACCATGAGGCTTCTGGACCTGTGCCTCAGCTCAGCCACCTCAAGTGTACCAGGCGCACCCCCACTACGCGCAGCTCAGGCCAGCAGCTCCCGCTGTGACCAGGGACCGTGAGTGACAGACACCTCCAGAGTCAGGCTTCTGCGGCCTGCGGGGTCCCTGCCTCCTGGGGACTGCGGTGTCCAGAGGCGCCCCAGGAGGACAGCGCCCCCACTGCCTGGGGGCGGACGAGGCAGTGCCGGCGGACGGGGGCTGCACAGAGAGGGGACAGGGGTCAAGGAGACCGGGGACAGCGCAGGCCGGGCCCACTAGGGCACCTCCAGGACGGAGGGCAGAAGGTGGGCGGTGGGGGTGGGACCCACAGCTGCCCGGGCTTCCTCCCCAGGCCCCACCCGCCCCACTGCCCCGCACGCTGAGCCCGCCGCCCACGTCTGCAGCCGGGAGGGGAAATTCAGATCTCCGGACCTCGCTTACCTCCCCGCCCACTCGCCGGGGTGGGGCCTGCTCCAACCTCGCACTTCTACCACACTGCTGTGGCCTGTCCCCAAACGCCACCGGGCGCAGCCTGCCCACGACTTTCCACTGGCCAGCCGGCGACCAGCCACTCCCGGCCCCCCCCACTCCCCCAGCACCCAGCTGCCTCTGCTGGCCTCCCTCTCCGCCCCCATCCCCAGGCTCCCGTCCTCCAGCCTCGGAAGGGCGTGCCCCCTCCCTGTGGGAGCCCCCACTGCTGGACAGGAACCAGCTGCCGCCCGGCCAGCCCATCCCGGACCTCAGTCCCTTCCCGCCTCCCCCAGAGCACGCGGACCACACGGCCTCTGCCGCAGAGCTGGCTCGCTCGTCTCTCACGAGGGTCCGTGTGACACCGGCGCCACGAGAGAACGGGGGGGGGGCACAAACACGGGGTTCCGCCGCCCAGAGCCCGGAGCCCCAGTGAGCCCACCACGCATGCTGGACCACGAGCTCATGGCCGACCCTCCTCCTCCCGGTCAGCCCCGCCCCCGTCCAGGGGCGACCGTCAGCGTGGGTCCTGCGTGCCCTCCTCCCCTCCGGCACGTCCCAGCGCACACGTGTGTGTGTGTGTGTGTGTGTGTGAGTGTGAGCACGCACACAGACCTGCGTGCCCGCAGCCCGGGGCGGTTCCGCTCAACCCTGAGATGGCGTCGCCCACGGTGCCATGTCACACCCGCCCCGCTGCAGGGGGGGATGGGGGGGCTGCTGCGTGAGCGCCCAGAGACAGGACCTCCACTGGGGGCTGGGAGTGACCCCCCCGGCCCCTCCCCTCAGGCCCAGCAGGGGCGACGGCCAGGGCAGGGCGGGCGCTTACTCTTCTTTTTCCTGTAGTTCTTCCGTTTCTTAAATTTCATGTTGACTTTCGGCCACGACTCTGTCTTTTCGATGACTGTGGCTTCCACGCGGACAAGGTCCTTTCTGGAAGGGAGGGAAATACACAGCGACGTTCCTTCCCGACCCGTTTTCGGGACGCCCCTCTGCCCGGCCTCCCCACCCGTCCGGGACACAGCCCCCGTCCCCCCGGCTGCGAGCGCCTCACCCCAGCAGCGGCCTCCCCAGCAGCGTGAAGGTGTCGGCGCCCACCAGCAGCACCTGGGAAGTGACACAGGGCGGAGTCTGTGAGGACAGAGGGCGGCTCCCACGCACTGGAAACGGGAAGGGCGCCGGCAGACCCTGTGCTGTGGCCGCCGGCCGCCACCTCCCTCGTCACCCCTCCCTTTGAACGGGCTGCCAGCGGCACCGGCCGTGAGTGCGGCCTCGCGGGTGCGCCAGGTCAGTCAGACGCGGCAGGGGGACACGGAGGATCTGACGTGGTCACCTGGCATGTGACAAGTCATGTGTCACCTGCTTATGGAAACGGTGGCTGCTTAGTGGAAACCAAAACCGCAGCAGCCAGACTTCTCGGGGAAGTCTCACACACACACACACACACATGGGGAGGCGCACAGCCGGACGGCAGAGCCTCTGGACACCGGCCGAGGGCCCTCGAGGCCCAGGCCCCAGGGCACGGGCGACGGCGGGACCCCCCCCCGCTGCCACCGCCGCCGTCTCGGAGCAGGGAAACCATGGCGCCCGCCAAGTGTGGCCGCAGGTGCAGGCGCCGGGGCACGCCAAGTGCAGGGCCGTTTTCCTTTGATGCCGGGAGACGTCTCACGTTTCACCGGTAAGAAGGAAGAGGTCCAACCGCACCAAACCTCAATGTCTGCAGACCGCGTGCATCGCCAGAAACGTTCCCGAGTCACTTTCGGCCAGTCCCACGTCACAGAAGTCCGTCTGCGCTAGGTGGGGCGTTCTAGCTCTGTCAACGTGAAACGCGGCCAAATGACGCCGTCTCGGAGACCCTCTCAGACGTGCCCCCGCGCCTTACCGGCTCCAGGGGACGCCCAGAAGCCAGCGCGCTCGGGGCCAGGAGCCAGGACGGGGGAGCCCTGGGCGTCACTGCGGGGAAGCGAGCCCGCCGGCTGCTGGGGCCCGGGTCTGGGCTGAGGAGCGGCGCTCAGAGCGCGGCTGTGAGAGGACCACACAGCTATCACGCAGAAACGACGGTCACGAGGGAAGGAGGAGATTTCATGGATGAAGAAAATCCTGCCCTGCTGGTGTGGCTCAGTGGACTGAGCGCCAGCCTGTGAACCAAAGGGTCGCCGGTTCGATTCCCAGTCGGGGCACACGCCTGGGCTGTGGGCCTGGTCTCCAGTAGGGGCTGCGTGAGAGGCAACCACACACGGATGTTTCTCTCCCTCTCTTTCTCCTTCCCTCCCTTCCTTTCTCTCTAAAAAGAAATAAATAAAATCTTTAAAGAAAACAAAAAAAAATCCCGTGTCTTGTTACGTTAACTAGCAGTAACATACACTCCAGAAAGATGGTGTACAGAGAGCTTATACACATATGTATTCTTAATCCTCACTGCGGCCTGCTCATGGACTTCAGAGAGAGAGGTGGGGAGGGACAGAGAGAGGAGCACCGACCCGCTGCCCCCGTGCGCGCCCTGACGGAGGAGGACCGAGCCCACGAACTTCCGGTGTCTGGGGGCCGCTCCGACCCGGGGCCGGGGGGGGGGGAGCTGGTGTTCCACACGCAGTTTCCTGAGTGGAAGCAGTGTGCACAGAGCCAGAGAGACCCCGCGGACACGGCCAACAGCATCGCAGCAGACGGGGAGAGACGCTCAGCTCAACGCACAGACGGGGCGCGTGGTCTCCCCTGCTCGGGGCCCCGGAGCCGGGCCGCACGGCGCAGACCCTCGGCAGCGGTGGTCCGAGACGTGCCCCAGCCGGAGCGCCATGCGTCCCCACAGCCTGGCCGGGGCCTCTGCCACGCCTGCGGTGGGAGCACGTCTGTGGGACACGCCAACGCCACGTGACACCGTCAGCGGACACACCGCTGGCGTCCCCAGAGAGGAGCGCCTCTCCCGAGCCAGGCGTCCTGGGGGCAGCCCCTCCAGCCCCTCGGGCACTCACTCTCCCGTCCCCTGGTTCTCCTCCCCGCCCCCAGACTCGAGGAAGCCTCCGCATGGATGGCCCAGGGACCCCACGTTCGGTGACCGAGTCCCCGAAATGCACAACGAAACCGACCCTCTCACCTTCTCCAACCGGATCCTCTCCCCACACTCGACGTCTAACTCGTTGTCGATTAAAATCAGGTCCTCGGGGGTCACCTTCCACTGGTGGCTGGCCAAGTGTACCACGGCGAAGAGCCGGCCGTGCTGGCCGGTGGCGATCAGCGCGTTGACCCTCCTCACGAGCTCTGCGGGGGGGAAGGGCCGGGCGGCGGGTGGGGCTGGGCGTGACCCACGGCGGGATGGTGGCTGCTGCCTGCCCTGCAGGGCCCCGGGGCCTTTACCGCCCAAAACCGCACCCCCTTGCTCTCCCGCAGTGGAGTGACGTGAGGCTCCTGGGGGAGCGGCCACAGGGCAGGGCAACGGCCAGTGGCCAAACCCTCGCTCTCCCCACCACAGGCGCAGGCATCCGGGTCGGGGCCCGCCTGCCACTCCCAGGAGCACCAGGGACACGTGGGCTTTCCCAGGTCAGGTGCCCCCACGTCACAGGACGCACCGGCCCCCCATGGAGCCCAGGGTGTGCCCGGCTCCGTTCTCCGGCTCCGGGTGGGCACCCCACCCCACGCAGCCCCCGGTAGTTGTTACACGGTCAGGGGACTGGGAAGTGCGTGGACCCTGAGACGGAGAGGGGGGCTTTCATGGGAACAGGGGGGACCTGGGGTGACACCCGGTGGGGCTGGGCTCCCGGTTCAGTGCGCTGTCCTGCACTGTTGGCTGTCTGACCAGCCCCAACCGACCGGCCAGCCCAGCCCGGCCCAGCGCACCTTGTCTTTCTCCCGCCCTCCGCCCCCCAGTCTCCAAAACAGCGTTTCACAGCTGGATTTCCAGACCTCCTGGGAAGACTGGGGGGCCCCTCGCAGAGACGCTCCAAGCTGACGTCACCCCGGCCCCTGACGGTTCCTGCGGCACACAGCCGGGGCCGGCGCCCACGGGCTGCCACGCATCTCGTCCTTCCGCTCGGGGACAAGCACCCCCCCTCGGGGACAAGCACCCCCCCTCCCCTGAACCCACGTCCCACCGCAGCGGGCGGCCCGGCGGCCCAGACGCCTGTCCTCACACACGCTGCTACGCTGCACGCGGGAGGTGCCCGGGGGTGTCCCTGAGGGAAGGGGCTCTCAAGGTGACGTTAAGAGGCAAGAATGGCCCAGGGCGTTCGCGCTGCGCCGGGCCTCGGAGGGCGGAGGGGCGCGGAGCCTGGTCCCGTGGCCAGGCGGCCTCCTGCAGGTGTGTGTGTGGGGGAGGGGTCCTGCCTGCGTCTGTGCCGCTCACCTGCGTGGTGTCTGGTCTCCTCGGCGGGGTCCGGCAGGACGACTTCTGGCCACGGCGGCGAACTCAGGGATGTTTTGGGGATGTAGCTGCAACAAACATTTTACACACGCGTGTCACACACGTGTGAACAGGCAGTTCGGCATCGTCAGAGATGGCTGTGTGCAAACGCAGAGGAGGACACGGGTCTGCCCCAGGACCCAGCCCCGTCTCTGCGCCAGCTGCCCTCGCGGCCAGCACGAGCTGTGCGCCCACATCCTCGGGGGCCGGGCGGGGACGCCCGTGGGTGGAGCTCCGAGGACAGGCCCCCACACGTCCTTGCGGCACGGCCAGGCACTCCAGGGACCAGGGCTGAGCACTCGGCCGTCGGAAGAGCAGCTGGGAGTGCTCTGCTCCGGGAGGGCCCGCCCGGGAGACCCGTGGTCCCGGGTCTGACCCAGCTCCGCGGCTGGCGGGGACGCGACCCTGGCAAGAGTTTGCCTGCTCAGGTCCCGGCTTCTTTAGCTGAGAAAATGGGATCAAACGCACTGCCTTCAGGGGCTGGCGGGTGGGGGGGGTGGGGCGGAGATCAGAGGGCATTGAGCGCCCAGCAGCACTCAGCAGGGGGGACGCGGGGGGGGGGGGCCTGGTGCCATGGACTGCCCTGGTCTGCTCTGCCCTGCGCTCCGGCCCCCCCTCCCTGCCTCGGGGCGCCGGGCTCCGAGTGGGCACCTTTCTCACCCCTCCCCCTCGCTCAGTGGGCGGAAACCAGAGCCGGGTGGTGGAGGGCGGGCGGCGAGGGAGAAGGGGAGCCCGGCCTCCACAGGAGCAGGGGGGTCTCCCTAAATTCCCGACCTGTTTTTGCCTCTGATTCCCCAGGGCCACACAGAGGGGAGGTGTGTACACCCAGACCGCGGTGTTCGGGGCTGAGTTCAAGTTTCCGCTGCCGTTTGCCGCCCGCACGTGGGATCTCCAGCCCTCGGCACGTGCTCCCCACGAAGCGGGGAACGAGCGAGCGCACCCCGGTCAGCGTCAGCGGCCAGAGCGTGAACGGACTGTTCCGCCACGCTGGCCCCAGAGCCCCAGGAGCTCGGGGCCTGGCAGGACCAGCTGCGTCCGGGACGGAGCCCGGTGGAGGGAGCGGCCTTCCGGCCAGGAAACCCTGGTGCGGGGAGGGGTGGAGGCACGCCAGGCACCGTCCCCGCTCGTCGGTGTACAACGTTCCCCACGGGGCCCCACGGAGGAGCCGGGTGCGCCGCTCCACTTTGCAGGAGGGGGCAGGGCTTCGGGGGCCGCCTGGCCCGGCTGCTGGTCCCGGACTCCCCCTGGGCGGCCCCGCCCCGCCCCACCCCGCTCCCGTCTGTGTGCGCCCACCACCGTGTGACTTTGCCAGAGCCACCCCCTGTCGTTCACAGGACAGTCCCTGTCCCGGGCACAAGGTGTTGACACTGAAGGTCCAGCGCTTCCTCCTAGAGACCGCGAGCCCCTCGACTTCCCGGCCAGAACCCCCCGGGGCGGGAGCCGCAGCCCCTCCTCAGTGACGCGGGGTCACGTGCGGCCTGGAGCGCCTCGCTCTTCGGACTCCGGAAGGTCAGTCTGCGTTTATCTACGTCAAGAGTCTGAGAAGGAGCCCTGGCTGGCGTAGCTCAGTGGATTGAGCGTGGGCTGCGAACCCAAGTGTCGCAGGTTCGATTCCCAGTCAGGGCACATGCCTGGGTTGCGGGCCATGACCCCCAGCAACCGCACCTTGATGTTTCTCTCTCTCTTTCTCCTTCCCTTCCCTCTCTAAGAAATAAATAAATAATCTTTTAAAAAAGGTCAAATATTTTTAAAAAATAGTTTTTATGAGAAAGAGACTATTAAGAAGGCTAAGAGAAAATATAAATATTCCTGAGAACTCGAACCCCCGGAGTCCTGACTTCAGAAAGACAGCCCCCCGAAGGAAAGCAGGAGAGTCTCCGAGACCCACGCTTCGGGCTTACCCTTGGGGCGGTGGTGTGCTCTGCGAACGGAACCTCCGAGGAGCTGCCCGCAGGGAGGCTGAGGGAGCAAGAGGAACAGGGGGGTTACTGCCGAGACATGCGAACGCTCTCGCCACCCCTCCCCGAGCAACTGTTCCTGCCAGCGGTTTTGGCCACGTCGCATGCAACCTGCCCGCAGAAAGCCGGGGCCCGCAAGGCTCAGAGCGTCCCTCACGGTCACCGGTTGTCACCACGAGCGTCGGGTTCCTCGTCACACCACCTGGGGGGCCTAAAACCGCCTCACCTCCCCCTCCCCCGACCCATCCCGACCACCCAGGGCCCTGTAGGTTCCGACCCCATTCTGTGCTGAGTGCGGGAGCCTCCCGAGTGGCCCACCCCATCCCCCCCATCCCCGCTGACACGGAGCTGGCTTCTGTGACCCACGGCGTGCGCCTGGAGTGGTGATGGGGCAGCACTCAGAGGTTAAGTGATAACGGACCACGGCCTCTGTCCAGGAGGCCCGTTATCTCAGGCTGCGGGGGCTGCTGTGCCCGCCGAAGCCGCCCGCCGAGAGCACTGGCCGGAGGCCTGCGTGGTGAGGAGCCTCGGCCTCCTGCCGTCAGCCTCGGCGGAGCTTGGAGGCAGGTCCTCGGCCCGGGTGGGGGCCTGCGGGGGCAGCAGCCCCAGCGGACGGCTCTGCGGGACCTAACGGGGTCGGAGCCAGCGCCACCCAGCCAGGAGCTGCCGTGGCCCTGACCGTCGGAAAAGGTGGGAGACAGCGCGTGTTAGTTACCGCACACTGCGGCGTCTGGGGGTGACTTGTGCGAAGCAGCGGACACTAGCACGCCAGGGACGAGGCGCTCCCAGTCCGCCCAGACGGGCTCAGGGACAGAAGGCGCAGAGCGTGGGTGCGAAGGGCGGAGGGCGGGTTGTCTTCTTTAAAAAACGAGCTATAGCCCTGGCTGGCGTAGCTCAGTGGATTGAGCATGGGCTGCAAACCAAAGTGTCGCAGGTTCGATTCCCAGTCAGGGCATATGCCTGGGTTGCAGGCCATGACCCCCAGCAACTGCACATTGATGTGTTTCTGTGTTTCTCTCTCTCTCTCTCTCTCTCTCTCTCCCTCCCTTCCCTCTCTAAAAATAAATAAATAAAATCTTTAAAAAAAAACGAGCTATAATTGTGCCGTGACACTCGCCCTTTCCCAGCTCCCCCAGCAGCAGCCGCACCCTCCCCCCCCCCGCCGCCATCTCAGTCTCCTCGGTGGCTTTTCATCTCCTCTCCCATCGTGGGGGACCTGGGGCTCAGACCTTAGACCTGCCCCTCCTTTACCTGTAGCCCATCCGCTGGGGACCGCATCGAGGGGAATGGACTTAAACGTCACCTGCACGCCGGTGACTCCGAGTGCACACCTGCAGCCCGTCAACGAGCCACACCACCTGCATGTCAGGTAAGCACCTCAGAGGTCAGGCGGGCTCCTGACCTCCCCCCAGGCCTGCTCCTCCCCGTCTCACCTGATGGCAACTTCGCCCGACCACTTGCCCGGCCCCAAATCTCCGACCCTCCTATCACACCCCTCAGCCCACCCGAGAGCAGGCCCTGTTGGCTCTCCGGGCAAGCGATCCAGGCTCTGACCACCGAAGTCATCCACGCCACCGCCACCTCCTGCCTGGGTGGTCGCCGACACCTGCTGTCCTCTGGTCCCCTTCCCTGCACAGCAGGAGAGGGACCCTGTTAAAGCTCACAGGTCACCGCACACCACTGTCCCGCTGAAACCCTCCAAGAGCTTCCCATTTCACTCAGAGACAAAGCAGAAGCCCCCCCAGGGCCCCGCAGGGTGGCGGCAGAGCGACCCACCTCCCTGACGCACTCCCCCTTGTTCCTCCCTCGGCCCCTGCCCTCTGGCTTCCTTGCCTTTCCCAGAATGCCTCCGGCACACACGCACCTAGGAGCCTGTGCCCCGACCGCTCTTCCCTGAAAAGTGCTCTCAGAGAGGCTAATCCCCTCCTTTCTCCGGGTCTCCACTCAAACACCATCTCAGTGGGCGGGGGGCAGGCCTTTCCTGACCATCCTATTTAAAATTGAACACCCCCCCCCCAACTCATCCTTTATTCTCCTCCACAGGACTTACCCACTAACTCATTATTCGCTTATTAAGAAACCGTCCTGTCTCTCTGCACACCCTCTCTCCTCAGAACCTCCCCTTACAAGCAGGGGTTCCCGTGCACTTTTATGATTGGTGTGTCCCCGCCCGGGACCAGTGTTGGCCGTGTAACAGGTACTCAGTGAGTGATGAATGAACGGATGAATGAATGAATGAATGAATGAAATCTCCTCTGCTCAGTCATCACGCGCAGCCCCAGTTGGGATTCCCTGTGACCGGAAACTCAGCACCTCCCTCGGGAGCCACCCACTGTTAGGAGCTCGGTGAGAATGCTGCCAGACCCACCCGCTCTCCTGCATCTCTCGCCTACGGCCTGAGCTCAGCCTTGGCCCCCACGGGGTTCCCTCCAGACCGCCATCGCACCTGCGGATGGAGACTGTGCCCTTCCACCCCGTTTCCTTCCCTTATCTGCAAGGTCCTGTCTGCTCACCGTTTGGGTCACTTTCTCTGTACTCACTACACTTTGTGTTTTTCTCCCAAAAAGTCTGAGCCTGGAACTGAACACAGCATTCTAGGGGAAGTCCCACCGCCCTGGTACAAACGCCCCGGCTTAAAACGTCCGGCGCACAGCAGTGAAGAGAACAGCACACGGGCCGAGGCCTGCAGTGTCCCCCAGGTCCATCGGTTACTGACCCAGGGCCCACCTCGTTTGACGGATATTGCTTCCAGCCCGACTCGGCAATCACGTTACAGCCCATCAGACGCTGTTTTATCAGAACAGACGTCAGTGTGCCTCTGTGGGTGGTAAACGAGGAAGGGGCACTATAATAAAGCACCAAGTCCTGGCTGGGCAGGTGGTAGCGGGAGGTCACAGCCCCGGCCTGTCGCTTCTCTAGGGGAAGGGTTTTTTTTTTTAAGATTTTATGTGTTTATTTTTAGAGAGGGAAGGGAAGGAGAAGGAGAGAGAGACAATGTGAGGTTGCTGGGGGCCATGGCCTGCAACCCAGGAATGTGCCCTGGCTGGGAATCAAACCTGCAATGCTTTGGTTCGCAGCCCGCGCTCAATCCACTGAGCTACGCCAGCCAGGGTCTCTGGGGGAAGGTTTTTAAGCCAGCCCTGGCTGCCACTCCCGTGCATCTAGGTTGACCTGCCTTCGAAAGACGGCCACCCTCGAGAAAGCACAGAATCTCACGATCCAGTCCCTGCCTTGCCTTCTCCCGCCTTTACGTAACCTTCCCGGCTTCCTTCCTTAATTGCAAAAGCATCAAAAACCTGCAAAGCTGTTATTCTCCGGAGCATCTGAGATCTTGCTCGTGGCACTTGTCCTTTGGGTTCAAATAAACCCTTATAAAAATTCTCTACAGGTTTGGACATTTTTCATGCCGACGTATGAAAGATAATTTATTAAAAAGTAAAACAATGTAGGTTGGGAGAGGAAAGGGTCAAGCAAGAAAGAAAAAAAAGGGAAACTCGTGGACAAGGACAGCAGTGCGGTGATTGTGGGGGGCAGGGTGGAGGTGGTAGAGGGTATGGGGGAATAAACGATAATGGAAAATACAATAAAGTAAGAAATGAAAAAAACAGAACAACATAGGTAACCATGACACTATTACTGCATCTAAAAAAGAACAATTCTTTGCTATTGTTGGATATACATTTTAGCCCAACTGAAAACCATACGTAAATACTTGCGTACACACATACACATACACTCCAACAACCATTTTCGGGCAGAAATTTACAGTGTTCTTGATGAACGCAACCTTTTTTTGAGCTTCCTATTTCAGTGACTAGAATACAGCCCCTATTTTCGCTGAATGGGTTAAGACTGGGGGTGGGCATTCATCATCATTTTTCCGGATGAGGACAAGGCTCGGAGAGTGGCTGAAAGCCTGGGCGCAATTGTAAAACGCATGTTTGGGAGCAGGACGGAGGTGTCGGAATCACACCTCGCCCGCTTCCCTGCTGGGTGACCCTGGGCAAGTTACCTAACCTCTCTGAACCTCAGTTTGCTCCCCCAGTAGCATAGGGCCTATTCAGAAGTTGAAGAGCTACGGCCAACAATTAGGCCACTACAATTAGGGATTTGAATGTAGGTTTCCCCGACTCCAAAGCCGGGTACTATGTTCACTGCACTTAAAAAAAAAAAAAATCGGAACACACACACGTGGCGGGACGGCGGGAAGTATCGCTTGTCCCGCTTCCTCCCTTCACCCCGCGACCCGGGTCTCACCCGCTCCAGGCCCGGACGGTCTGAGAATGCTGCGGCTGCAGGCGGACACAAGTCGCCCGAAGGTGACAGGCAGGGCCGAAGCCGCCACGGCCGCAGCCATCTTCCCTCAACCTTCACCGGAAGCGGAAGCGCTGCGAACCTGGTGCGTCGACGCACCGGTTCCGGCGGGGAACTTCTCCCCGCGCGGCGCCCGGACCTTGGCGGCTCCGGGCACGGGCCGGGCCGCGGCGATGGCCTCGGAGACGGTGGAGAGTTTCGTGACAAAGCAGTTGGACCTGCTGGAGCTCGAGAGAGAAGCGGAGGTCGAGGAGCGCAGGTAAGGCCGCTGGCCCGTCCTCTCGGGGTCGGTCCGGCAGTTCCCCCAGCGTTTATCTGCTCAGATGCGGGCGGACCCTCCGGGAGGCTGGGCCACCTCCAGAGGTGGAAACCGCGTCACCTCTCGGGGCAGCCCTTTCTGGTTCGGGACCCTCAAGAAACCCTTTCGTTTCTCGATCTGAAGTCCCCCTCCCAGGGCTCTCACTCGGAGGTCCTACGTCTGCCCCTAGTTGACCGCCAGCGCGTGCCCAGCCCTCTTCCTCTAGCGTCCACCTGCGTTTGCACCTGTTGTGTGCCAGGCCCCAGGGAGAGAGTGATTGACACTGGGACCCTGGGAATGAGGGGTAGACGGAAGCCCGAGCATTCCCTTCCAGCGTGACAAGTGGCAAATGCTAACGGCCGGGTGCGCGAAAGTGCTGTGGGAGCGTGGGGGTGGGGAGGAACACCCGACGGGGAGGGCGGGGGGTAAATGAAAGGTGGCTTCAGGGAGGACGCGGTGCCACAGCACCGCTTCAGGAAAACAGGGGCGAAGGCGGACCTGCAGGAGGAGCGGAGACACGGGCTTGTGTCTGAACTGGAGCAGTTAGTTCTGTGCTGAAACGCCAAGAGCGAGGGCACCTGCATCAGTGCCCGTCAGCCTCATGCCAGTCCTGCAAAGCACGATACTGTTCTTCTCCTTTTACGTCTAAGGAGGAGGCTGAGACAGTGAGGTTAAGGGGCTTGCCCAAGCTGACGCAGGTGGAGTAGCCCCTGATTCCGGAGTTTGCAGTCAGCCACTGTGCTGTATACGTCGATGGGATTTGTCTCAGGGGCTTGGATCATGGCCGTTAAGAGCTTTTGGAGAATCCCAGCGCCTTCATTTCTGGCCGTGGCACTCTGCAGACTACGGCTCTGAGCCTCAGTTACCGTATCTGTACAATGGGAACGTTCCCACCCCAGGGGTTTTCCGGGAGAGTGAAGTGATTCTCCTAGCAGTCAAGTGCTCGGTGCTGGGTGCGGAGTGAGCGCCCGTTGGAGGATAAACCGGCGCTGGGCCGGAAGGGGCCTTGCCGGAGAGCTCGTGTCAGCCCGGTGCGGAGGAAGGCGGAGCTGACATTCAGCAGGTTGGGGGGCAGGTGAATAGATTTGCACTTTGGGGGATCCCTTGGGCACTACTGATGCTGGCAACAGGAGGGGGTGAGCCCCGATGTCACGCAGTTGGGAAGCGCTGCTCCACCCAGGCTGTCAGGGACGTGGGCTTGAATCCAAATCAGGGCTCCGGAGGGGAGACGGAGAGGCCGAGCCAGGCCCTCGACGTACACGGCGTACACAGAGTACACGGCGTACATGGGAGGGGCCTGATGGGAGGAGGAGCCGACACGCTGGCTCCTGTTCGGTGCCCGCGCCCGCATCTTCATTTCCTCTCCCTCGGAGACTTCCCCTGCGCGCGGGTGGAAATGAAAACGGGTGAAGTACGAGTGCCCATGCCGACCGCCGGTGTCTTCCAGGGCCTGGCAGGAAGGGGTCTCTCTGAAAGAGCTCCAGAGCCGAGGCGTCTGTCTGCTGAAGCTGCAGCTGTCCAGCCAGCGGACCGGGCTGTACGGGCAGCTCCTGGCGACCTTGGAGCCCCGGAGGGGCACGTCCACCTGCGTGCTTCCCAGCAGCAGCCTTTCCTCCGGTAGGTGCATTTCTGGCGGGGGCGCGAACCGGATGCGATGGGCCTCAGGCTGTGGGGTTTGTTCTCGTAAAGACCGGGCTGCACACGTTGACACGGGGGAAGGGGGCCACGACCCGGGCCGATGGGGAGGACGCCGGCGCCTTTCAGAGTCCCAGGGGCAGGATCGGGTGTTTGCGCAGGTGGCCCGGAAGCTCCGGGCCCGCAGAGGTAGGAACGTGGGTTCAGTCGACGAGCCCGTGGAGGGAGTGACCGGTGGGAGCCTGATCAGCCGCCCGTGAGCGGGGAGTCAGAGGAAGTGGCGTTTATGCTGAAAAACAGCCAGGCGGGAGCTTGGTGGGTCGCTACAGCTGTCGATACATCCAGGTGGAGTTGTCATTTTTCACCTGACGAGCAGTATTAAGGCTCGGTGGCTTGGAGGTGTGCATTTGGGGACGCGGGGGTCCCAGGCAGGGCGCTCACGAGGCAGCCATGGTAGGAAGGGCTCCCCGTGGTGGCCCCGCACAGAACCCAACCTGTGCCCCAGGAGCACTGTTGCCACCTGATGTTTGTCGTTAGAAGCTAGGGAAGGCCCCTGGAAAGGTGGCTCATTTGGTTGGAGCATCGTTCCATACACCAAAAGGTCACAGGTTTGATTCCCTGTCAGGGCACATGGCTGGGTTGCAGGCCATGTCCCCAGTAGGGGGCGTGTGAGAGACAGCCACACATTTATGTTTCTCTTCCTCTCTTTCTTCCTCTCTTCTCCTCTTTATAAAAATAAATAAATAAATAAAAATCTTTAAAGAGAAAGAAAGTAACATTAGGATATTTGAGTATGCCGGGGTTTATCGTATGAAATAATTTACAGTCAGCTTTGTTCAGTGTTCGTGTGACCGAGTCTTCGTCTCACAGGCGATATCGTGGGTCTGTACGGTGAAGGCGGTCAGCTGGCCACCGGCGTCCTGACCCGGATCACCCAGAAGTCGGTCACGGTGGCCTTTGACCAGTCCAGTGATTTCCAGTTGAGCTCAGACCATGAGACCTCATACCGGCTGCTGAAGCTCGCCAATGATGTCACCTACAAGCGAATGAAAGCGTAAGGGTGGGACCGGGCCTCCCGTGTGACATTCTCCTTAGACCCGGCTCTCGGGGCCGGAGCTCATTCCTGCCGGACAGAGCCAGTGGGGCCTCCGGTTGGCCGGGGCCAGTCCGGGGGCCCCTCCGGAGCCGTGGGTGGGGTGTGGGGCCGGGCTCTGGCCCCCAGCTCCCGGCTGGTTTTCCCTGAGTCCCCCCCTCCTCTGCGTTTTCCCCCGCGGGCAGAGCGCTGATCGCGCTGAGGAAGCACCGGGCCGGCCCCGCGTCTGCGCTCATCGAGGTCCTCTTCGGCGACGCCGCCCCCAGCCCCGCCATGAGCATAGGTAAGATCCCTCGCCTTCTCCGGCCGGGTCAGAATCGCCTCGGAGAGGAGGGAGGCCCCCTCGACCCTGGGCCACTGTGGCCAGGGTTCGAGGACGCACAGGCAGCAGAAGAAACCGCCTTCGCTCCCCGCAAACGCCTGTGCGTGCGGCCTGCCTGCCTGCGCTGGGCTCCCCCTCCGGTGCCTGGGCCGGAGGAGGGGCTCCCTGCGTCCCCTCCGCACAGGCCCCCTTCGAGGCCCCATCCAGGCCCCTCCCAGCCAGGGCCTGGGAGGAGGGGACGGGGCAGCGGCCACGCTCCAGGCCCAGCCCCGTCCGTGTGCGCGAGAGCGTCCGTGTCTGGTCTGAAATGTCCCCTTCGGCCATTCCCTCAGCCTCCTCAGAGCGAGGGCAGCGGGTTTCTGACTGTGAGGGTGACGCGTGTCCGTCGTGGAGAATTTGGAAACACGGCCGCAGATGAGCCACTCAGAGCCCCGCCACTCTGCTCGCCTCCCAGATCCTTATGTCTGGCGGTCACGCCTTTTCCCACGCCCACGCACAGTGCGTCTCACGCCCGTGTGCACACGTGGGGTTTACTCGCTCCCTTTGGAGGCCCGATTGTGGCTGATGCCCGGGGGGAAAGGGGTGCACACGGGTGTGGATGGCGGGAAGCACACGGGCGCCTCCGCTCCTCCCCACGTCCTCCCGAGTCTGACTCGCCCCATCAGCCCCTGGGCTGTGCGGTGAGCGTCTCTGCCGGGCGGCACGCGGCGGGGTGGGCGCTGCGGGAGTGGGGCGCAGAGCACACGGAGCGAGCAGCGACCGGTCCTGAGAGACCCGGGCAGACACACGGGCCTGGGGCCTGCTGCTGCGTCTCCTGTCATTTGGTTGTGTCACTCCGTGGGCGCGTGTAAGGGACAATGTGGCAGGAACAAACGTGTTCCGAGAAACATGCACTGGAGGAGAGTCCGTTCCTCCGGAGCAGGAGTCGGCAGACCGCTCCGGGGACGGGGCGGACGGTCAGCGTCCCAGGCTCTGTGGCCGGGGCAGGCGGGGCTGGTCCCCTGCCGAGCGCCGCCCAGGGAGGCGGGCAGCAGGCTGGGTCTGGCCCGGTCCGCAGGCTGCCTGCCACTTCCTGCTCCCGAGAACTCCCTCGAGAGGAGGCAGGTTGATGCCGAGTGGCTGGGCGACTCCCGGGCGGGCCCCGCTCCTGACTCTGTCGCCCCTCCCGCAGAGGCGCCGGCCTTCTTCAACACCTCCCTGGACGCCTCCCAGCAGGAGGCGGTCTCGTTCGCGCTGTCGCAGAGGGAACTTGCCATCATCCACGGGCCCCCCGGCACTGGGAAGACCACCACCGTGGTGGAGATCGTCCTCCAGGCCGTGAAGCAGGGCCTCAAGGTGGGCTGGGGTCCCCCTCCCCTGCGGCGCTGACTGGCTCCGTCCCGCCACACCGGCCGGCTGCTGGCAGGCCCCAGGCGGCTGGGGCGGGACTGGTCCGAGCACTGTGGCGTTTTCTGGGCACGGTGGGCCCTTCTGATTCCCGGTGGCTGTGTGTGACTTGGGAGCGTGGGGCTGGCTGTGGAGACCGGCACCCTCGTTCCCTGAGGCCCGGAGCTGTGGTCGTGCACCCAGCCACGGGCCGGGATTCATCCGGTCAGCTCGCCGGCCGTGCGCGTGCTCCAAGTCAGAGCCGTGCTGGGCGTGCTGGGGCGTGGAGGAGACCAGGGCCTCCTGGGCCCGTGGAGGTGCAGGCTGGCGGGGGGTGAGGGCGACAGGTGGCTGCATGAATTGGGTGGGCAGGCGGGGTAGCCACCGTGGGGGCTCCGTCCTGGCTGTCACCGCTCACTGGCCTTTCTGGTGGCCAAATGGCCGTGTGTCCGCCTCTGCTGTCAGCGCGAGTCTCTGTGGGTTCCAAGCGTGGGGAGGGCTTTAAAGAGACCCTCTGGTCCGTAAACGTTGGATGATGAAAATCGGGAGAGTAATGCTCAGTGTTCGTAGGTCACGTGCCCTGGGTGCTTTCAATAGACCAGGCGCCCCTCGGGGTGCTCCCAGGTGCCCCCTTGTTTGGTGCTCACAGAGCGCAGGGTGCCGGGTGCCCCAGTCTGCAGAGGGGGCAGAGGAGAGAGGCCCGTGCCCGGTCCCTCAGCGGCGAGGGGCAGAGCTGGGGTCTGTGCCTGGGCGGACACTGCCCGCCTGGACTCCGAGCTCCGGCCTTCGAGCAGAGCTGCTGCCGCTGCTTCCAGCCGCAGGGACCCCTGGCACCCGGTTACTGAACGGGGTCCCGAGGTTCCCTGCGAGCGAGGGTCGTGGCCCGGGCGTTTGCGGCCCGGAGAGGACGACCTCCCGGCAGAAGCAGATTTGGGGGTGTGCCTGACTGCCTTCTGTCTCAGTGCGTCTGAGAGAGGACGCCCCAAGTTCGTGGGCGGGCACACCCCCGCCTGTGGCCATCTGGAGGGGAGGGCGATGCTGGACATGAGGAGGGTGGGCCGTGGCCCCCGTTCTTGACATTGACCCGAACAGGGCCCCCCCCCTCCTGTGCTGGCTGCCAGGGCTCCCAGTGGCCGGGCTGCAGCTGTGGGAGCACGACTGAGCCCGTGCAAGCCCTGCCCTGGGCCGCCCGGTCAGGCGGCAGAGCCACGGGGCCGGTGACGAGACGATGTCCTGGCTGGTTATTTCTGGGCACCGGGCCCCTCCCTCTGCGGTCACTAGTCCCTCAGCGTTTCCGGGGCCCTGGAGCTTAGGAGGCTCGTGAGCCCCGAGTTCCGGGCGTCCGGACACCGTGACGGTTCACGGCGACGTGTGGCCTGCAGACCGTCACCCGCCCCTGCAGCTGCGGGTGTGCTCCCGCGGACACCGGAGCGGCTCCCTGAACGCGGACCCGCCTGACCCGCTCCCCGCTCCCGCAGGTCCTGTGCTGCGCGCCCTCCAACGTGGCCGTGGACAACCTGGTGGAGGCCCTGGCCCGGTGCGGGCGGCGGGTGCTGCGCCTCGGGCACCCGGCCCGGCTCCTGGAGTCCATCCAGCAGCACTGCCTGGACGCGGCGCTGGCCCGCGGCGACGGCGCCCAGATCGTGGCGGACATCAGACGGGACATCGACCAGGTCTCTGTATGTGTCTCTCGGCCTGCCCGCCGCCTGGGGGTGGGGGAGGGGGCTCTGACCCGTGGGCGTTTCTGGGACTGACTTGCACCGGCCGTGCCCCTCCTGCCGCTCGCGGCCTCCCTGGCTCTCAGGGTCCTGGGGGCGGGGAGGGGGGGCTGCCCCTGCGCTCAGCGTTCCGTCGGGACTCAGCTGTCTTCCGGGCAGTGTCACGAGCAGGCGAGGGTTTGTGTGGGAGAAAACACGGTCCTTGTGTGTCCCTTCTGTCTGGTCGTGTTGTCCGGACACTCTTGGTAAAAGTGAAAAGGAAAAAAAAGCCTGAAAACAAAACCACAGAGACGGCCCGTCCTGCCCTGTGTGCGCCACCCCCATCTGCGGTCTCTCCGCGGCGTGCCGGCTCCTCGGTGCACTGGCGCCCGGGGCCGGTGCTGTGCGTCTGCCTTCCCGTGGGGCGCGTGGGGGCGGGGTCTGCGTGTGTTCCCCAGCATCAGAGGTGGCGGTGTGGGACCATGCGGTCGCGTCAGTGTGCTGTCATGGATGGGGAGGAGCCCCGCTCCCGCGCCGCTCCAGCAGCGCTTTTGGGGTGTCAGTCCCAAGAGTGAGGTGCGGTGACGCCACCTGTCCCCGCGGGGGGCGCCTGCCCCCCAGGGCAGGGCCCACGTGGGGGATAGTGTCGTCTCTGCGAGTGTGGGACTACGTCGGCATCCCAGGAGCCTCGTAAAGTCTCTCCAGGCTCCTGACAAACGCGGAGCGAGGAGCTAAGCTCAGCCTCTCTGGTCTGGGAAGGACCAGAGCCCACTTCCTGGGGCGGGCGGGCGGTGGGCGGTGGGCTGGGCCCGCACTCCGGCCTCTTCTGAGAGCAGCCCCGGCCACCCCTCATTGGGCCGGCGGCGGTGGCTCTGAGGCCAGGCGGGGTGCCAGGTGCTCTGTCGCCCGTGTGCATCTGCTGCTCCTTGAAGAAAGGTCCAGACTCGCAGCGCCTTTTTTTTTTTTTTTTTAAGAATTTGGATTTTTTTTTTTTTCAAGATTTTTATTTATTTATTTTTAGAGAGGGAAGGGAGGGAGAAAGAGAGAGAGAAACATCAATGTGCGGTTGCTGGGGGTTATGGCCTGCAACCCAGGCATGTGCCCTGACTGGGGATCGAACCTGCGACACTTTGGTTCGCAGCCCGCGCTCAATCCACTGAGCTACGCCAGCCAGGGCTCTTAGTACCTTTTAAGGGACAGGCTGAATCGGACCGAGTGGTTGCACGCAAACGCGCTCCATGAACGAGAGAGAGCGGAGGGTGCGACCGCGCGACCCCGACTGCACCCGGTCTCGTCTGCTCCCCGGAGCCATGCACGGTCGGGCCGGTTGGTGCTCGGACGGGGGAGCTAGACACGCGCTGAGCTGTGTCCAAGTTGTATCATCTCCGATCCCCTTGGCAGGTGAAGATGAAGAAGACCCAGGACAAGAGAGAGAGAAGCAGCCTCCGGAGCGAAGCCCAGCTGCTGAGGAAGGAGCTGAGGGGGCGGGAGGAGGCCGCCACGCTGCAGAGCCTGCGGGCGGCGGACGTGATCCTGGCCACGAACACGGGTGAGGGCCCCCCCGGCCCCCCGAGGTTCCCTGGAAGCGTTCGTGTGGAGTTCACAGCATGAACCTCCTGGGCGTGCAGTTTCCTGCGTGGGCGGGGGTGGGGCGGTAACTACAGGTCGGTTTCCCTCAGGGACACGGGGGTGCCCAGGCCGTCTCTCCCGAGCGGACGTGCACGCCGGGAGGACTTCATCTGTTCCACCCAGTGGTCGGGTGGGTGGGCGCGAAGTTGTTCAAGACCCCCTGGGACTCGCCCGGAGCTCCAGGGGGAGGGGCCTGTGCCTGGCCTGGGGGGGTCGGATCCACGGAGGCTCTGTCTCTGGGGCGGGCCCACCGGTTAGCTGCTCTGGAGACACCGGGAGGGGAGTGCGTCCCCTGCTGGGTTCAGAGCGTGAGGCGGGACCAGCCCTCGGAGAGGAGACAGCCTCCAGGGGATGCGGGGTGGCAGCCCCCCTGCGGCCCCCCACTGGGCCCCACGCAAACACTGGTGGGGAGGCAGGGACCGCGGACTTTCTCACGTCCGTGCCAAGGTCCCACGTTTGGCGCACACGCAGTCTGAACGCGAGGCCGGGGGTGGGGCCGCCGGCTCACAGTGACCGCCGCGGCTCCGGCCCGGCCAGCGCCGCCCGTCGTAAAGACCGTGGCTCCGCCCCCACCAGGCGCGTCCCCCGACGGCCCCCTGAAGCTGCTGCCCGAGGACTACTTCGACCTGGTGGTCATCGACGAGTGCGCCCAGGCCCTGGAGGCCGGCTGCTGGGTGCCCCTGCTGAGGGCCGGCAAGTGCGTCCTCGCCGGCGACCACAAGCAGCTGCCCCCCACCGTCGTCTCTCCCAGGTAAGGCCCCGCGTCCGGCACCCCCGTGCTCTGTCCCTTGAGGGCCGGCCGGGAGGTCAGGGGTCGTCGGGTCGCATCCGTCTCAGCGGCCGAGCGTCTGGGCTGCGCTCTGCTGCGCCTGCTGGATGGAAGGGCCCCAGTGGGTCGCGGGGCCCACGTGCCCGGGCTGCGCTGGCCGCCCCGGGGTCAGATCCCAAGGCCCGGGCTGTGGGCCCGTCCTCCCCTGGGCGCTCGGGAGTGACTCGGCACGGGCCGCCCTGCCCCCGTGGGGACAGTGTCCCAGCACCGTGACCAGGCACAGACTCCCTCCGGGTGGGGGGACCTGCTGCCACCCCTGGGACAGGCCCCCGGGGGACCACCCTTGGTCTCTGCCACGTCCCCTGACCGGGGACCCCTCCCCGTCTGCAGCACCAGCCACAGGCTCCCCTCCGCTCCCTTCACGGCGTCCTCTCTGACCCTGACCCTGTGCCCCCTCTGGTCAGACCCCCGTGAGGACATGGGGCCGAGGCAGCTCCCGTGTCAGACCCTTAACTGTGTCTCACCCACCAAGTCCCCGCTGTCACGTACCCGCAGTCCTGGGGGAGGACGCGGGCGTCTTTGGGGGCCGCTGTTCAGCCAGCTGCCCCCGTAGTTTTCGGTCAGAACTGGGGTCGGAGTCCGGTCTGTGGTCCGAGCCCAGCCTCCCTCCCCGGGCCCTGGTCTCGGGTGGGACGTGGGGGGCGGGGGGAGCGCGGCCTCCCTCCCAGCTCCCCTCCCCCCCTCGCTGCAGGGCCGCGCAGGAGGGCCTGTCGCTGAGCCTGATGGAGCGCCTGGCTGGGCGGTGCGGCGCCGACGTGCTGCGGACGCTGACGGTGCAGTACCGCATGCACCGGGCCATCGCGCAGTGGGCCTCCGAGGCCCTGTACGAGGGGCGGCTCACGGCCCACCCGTCCGTGGCCGAGCGCCTCCTGCGGTGAGTGACGGGGCTGCGTCCCCGGGTCCCGACCCGGCCCCCGCGCCCCTGCGGGGTCTGCACAGGGGTTAGAGGGGGCGTCGCCTCGGGGAGCAGTTTTCTGCAAGGGAGGGTGGACTCTCCCTGGAGAGCTGGGTTCGGGTGCCTCCCGCCCCCGAGCCGCCTGGGTGGTGCCCCGCACTCCTGCGGGGTGGGGGTCGCCCTGCGGGGAGGGGGGCAAGGGCCGGTGCTGCTTCTGGGGCCTCCACTCCGGGGCCTCTCACAGCCCAGCTCACCTGTGCGCAGGGACCTCCCGGGGGTGGTGGCCACCGAGGAGACGGGCCTCCCCCTGCTGCTGGTGGACACGGCCGGCTGCGGGCTGTCCGAGCTGGAGCAGGAGGACGACCAGTCCCGAGGCAACCCCGGTGAGCGCGGGGGCGGGGGCGGCTTCTCTGCGTGGACGGCCCCTGGCTGCTCCTTACGCACGCAGGCCCCTCAAAGTGGCCGGCCTGCGGGCCGAGTCGAGGGGAGGGTGCGGGGCACGGCGGGGGGCACAGCTCCGAGGACCCACGGGTGGTCTCCAGCCGAGGGCCCCGGGGCCCGAGCTCAGTGGACGCCGCTCTCCGCCAGCCGGCAGCACCCACCGGGGGCTATGTGCGGGAGGGGCTCTGTCTCCTCGTCTGAGCGGAGGGCCCTGCCCTGCCTGGGTGGCCCGGGGACTGGGTTCCTTGCTCAGCCGCAGGCCCTTGGTGCGGCCCACCCCCAGGCGCCCCTCGGGGAGGACTCGCGGCCCCGCGTGCTCTGGAAGGGGGCTCACTGTTTCCGGAGACGGTGGCGGGCTGGGTGTCCTCTGCTGCGCTGGCCGGATCTGGCCGCCCTCCAGCGCAGGCATGCGCTCCCAGGACGCCGTCGGGCCAGCCGATCGAGCCCCTTGTCCTGGAGCCCCTTGTTTCTGTCTCCCACAGGTGAGGTGCGCCTGGTCAGTCTGCACATCCAGGCCCTGGTGGACGCTGGCGTCCGGGCGAGTGACATTGGGGTCATCACGCCGTACAACCTGCAGGTGCGAGAGCCCCCCCCTTCCCCCTGCCGCCCATGTGTGTCAGCGGGCCCTACCTCCCCCCCGGGTGGAGGGAGGGCCGTGCGTCGGTCCTTCTGACCGAGAACTCGGGGGTGGTGTGGACCACAACACAGCCGGATTTGGGCTCAGACGACGTCAGCAGGGGCTTCCGTCGGTTGGTCTGTCCATCCGTCCGTCTCATTGCTCTGCCGTCCTCCACCCACCTGACCTCCCCACCTGGGCCCTGGTGTTGGCTTCCATTTCCAGCAGCCCCCCCACGCCTCCCCCCCACTGCTGTGGCCCTGACAGCCACACGCTGCTGTCGTCCTGCTGTCATCCACACACAGGCCGCCCCGGGGAACAGCGGTCCTCTGACGGCACGTCCCCAGGAATCTCGGGGTTCGGTCCCGTGGGTCTGGCTCGGTGGTCCCCCTCCCTGAGCCAGCCACTGTGGCTAGGAGCTGGGTGCTGGCCCAGCTGGGCTTCCCGGGGGCTGCCGTGGACAGCGGGGCGTGGGCGGCCTCTGCAGGAGGTGCGGGTGGCGGGTTAGCAGGGGCAGCGGATGGCTGTTCCCTTATTTCCTCGAGTCCTCTGCCCGCGAGTCTCTGTGCCTCTGGGGCACAGCTGTGTCGTCCCCCCCCGCCACCCCGTAGGAAAACCCTCCTGCTTCAGAGCCTCAAGGGGCCTGCCGGCCAGCGGCCACCCTCCCTGCTCGGGGGGCGTCCCGCACGGGGCTGTCTTAGGCTGGTGGCCGTGCTGAGGCCCGGCTTTGCCTGGCGTTCCAGGTGGACCTGCTCCGGCAGAGCCTCTCGCACAGGCACCCTGAGCTGGAGATCAAGTCCGTGGATGGCTTCCAAGGCCGCGAGAAGGAGGCCGTGGTCCTGTCCTTGGTCAGGTCCAACCGGAAGGGTAGGGAGCGCTCGCTCACTGGCGTGCTGGCGGGGAGGGCCGGGTCTCTGCAGGGGGCTGCACCAGTCACTGGGGGTGCGGTCTCGGAACCCAGGCTGTCCTCGTGAGCTCCCTGTGCGGTGGAGGGCCGCAGTGCGCTGTGGCGAGGCGTCCGATAGGAGTGCACCCTGGGGTTGGGGGGCGGTGGCCAGCGAGTGCGGCCGGAGGGGCCAGCGCCAGTGGGGGCGGGGAGCCAGGGCAGCCCGGACGCCCTGTGGGGGCAGTGGGGCCCCCAAAACCCAGAAGAGTTCGTCCTCTGGCCTGAAGGCCTGCGCAGCCTCGGGGCGTGGCGTCCGTGACAGCAGAGCTCGTGGGCGGTCCCTGTGGTGAGAGCGGCCGCGACCCACAGACGGTTTCCCGTTGGTGGGCTTGGAGTGGGTTTTCAGTGGAAGGCGGGAAACCACGCCCGTGTCCGCCCCCCGGCCCTGGGCTGTGTCGCTGTGTCCCAGGTCCGGGCTCAGGGAGAGGAAGCCCCTGCCCACTTGGGAGCGACTAACAGTGTGCCAGCTGCCGGGACCCAAGCCGGGTGCTGTCCCACGTCCCGCCGAGCCGCAGGGTGCCGGCAGGGCGTCTGAGCATCCTCAGCGTCCCCATGGGGCCTCGGGCGCGAGTGAGGCGGGGGGGGTGCGTCCCCAGGGGGTGGAGACGGAGCCACGGACAGCGGCCAGCCTGGAGCCGGTCCTTCTGCGGGGGGGGGTGGCCGCCTCTGCTCAGGGCAGGAGAGGGGCTTCCTGCCCGGCCCCCGTCTCATCTCTGCCCGCCCACTCGGCCCCCCGTCTGTAGGTGATGTGGGCTTCCTGGCCGAGGACCGGAGGATCAACGTCGCCGTCACCCGCGCCCGGCGCCACGTTGCCGTCGTCTGCGACTCGCGCACCGTCAGCAGCCACGCCTTCCTGAAGGCCCTGGTGGACCACTTCGCCGCGCACGGCGAGGTGCGCTCCGCCTTCGAGTACCTGGACGACATCGTCCCCGAGAACTACTCCCACGAGGGTTCGCAGGGCCCGGCGGGCTTGAAGCCCCAGGGCTCTGCCGCGCCCGCCACGGGGCCTGGGGGCGGGCGGCCCGATGGGGCCCGGGCGGCCAGAGTGGCTGCCGGGCCGGCCCGGAAGACGAGGGGCGGGAAGCCCCGGGGCTCCGAGGCCCGCTGCTCCCAGCCCAACCTCAACGGAGGCGGCCCAGAGGGGCCGGAGGGCGGAGACGGCGCAGACCCCTTCAGGGCTGCGATAGCGGAGTTTGTGGCGAGTGAGCGCGCGCAGCTGGAGTTTCCCGCCTCCCTGAGCTCCCGCGACAGGATGCGCGTCCACCAGATCGCCGAGGAGTACGGACTGCGGCACGACAGCACCGGGGAGGGGCGGGGCCGGTACGTCACCGTGAGCAGGAGGGCCACGCCCACCACGCCTGCCACACCGTCTGCGTCTGCCGCCCCGGCCACGCCCACCACGCCTGCCACACCGTCTGCGTCTGCCGCCCCGGCCGCGCCTGCCACCGCGGCCACACCAGCTCCCCCGCCCCGGCCCGGACTGACGGCAAAGCCCCTCTCCGACCCGAGCCCCCCAGCCCTGTGCGGGTGGAGCCCCCCGCCAGGGAGCCGAGCGGCCTGGACCTGAGGGCCGTGCACCTGGAGAGGCTGCAGAGGGAGAGGGCCCGGCAGGAGCGGCAGGCCGAGGGGCGGCCGCAGGCCGCGGGCTCGGGGCCGCGCAAGCTCCCGGAAAAGAAAAAGAAAAAAGATGCGAAAGGTTAGTGGGGCCGACGGAGGAGAGCGCAGGCGTGGGGTCCCTGTCATGGGACGGCCGCCCACCGCAGACCCGCCCGGCACCCTCAGAAAGAAGTGGGACTTTCTCCGCGCGGTGCCCCGATCTCTGCGTGTTGTGCCTCGTGGCCTTGGAGTGAGCGCCCCCCCACCAGAGGGTGGTGACCGGGCACGGTGACCGCGAGTCCCCAGGGCCGCCTCCTGCAGGTCCTGGCGGGGCAGGGAGCACACTTACCATGGGGACGGGGGCGGGGCTGGCGGGACAGACAGGTGGGTCGCCGGTGTCCTCTGGGTGGTGGGGGCGCGGACCAGCCCTTGCCGTGGCACCAGTGCTCCTGACTTGGGCCCGGGGTGGGCGCGAGCTCCGTCGGGGCGGCCGCAGCCCACGTTTTCTGGGGACTCTGGGCGAGCAGCTCCCCTCCCCCTCCCCTCAGGTGCGGGTGTGCTGTGTGGGCTCTGGGGCCGGCCGAGGCCAGTCCTCGGCGTCGGTGAGCGGCCACCGTGTGCCAGGCCTCGAGCCGGTGAGCGGACGGGCGCCGCCCGCCCCCCAGGGACTGACGGCTGGCAGAGCAAAGACGCTAGACGCCCGAAACCGTGCTGGGGACAGGGTAGACGCCCCGGGGGGGCAGGTGGCAGGGGGGCCGTGCCGGGCGGCCACTCTGCCTGGGCGCCAAGCACCCGGGGTGCCCGCCGAGGCGTGTGGTCGGGGAAGCACCCTCCTGTGCCTGCACCCGAGTCTGCACGCGTCCGCGCGTGTGTGTCCTGCGGAAGTGCAACCACGGGTAGCTCTGCGTCTCTTTCCCGCCCGAGAGCACCTTGCTGTGCCCTGGAGAGGTTTCCTCGGGGCTGCTAGAAGCACCGCGACCCTCGGCGTTGCGCGCGAGCGCGCCGTGGCTCGCCGGAGGGACCGCCACCCTGGGGGGCAGCGGGCCGGATGGTTCCGGCTTCGTCCTCACAGCCGGCGCCGAGAGGAGTGTCCTGCTGGCGGAGTGGTTTCCGGGGTAAAGGGGCCGACCTCCCACGCGCTGCAGGGGCTGGGGCCGCGCCGCCCCCTGCTGGCGGGGCCTGGGACTGGCTCTGAGGGGGGCGTACCGGGCACGGCCGAGCCCGAGTTCGCCCGCTCGCCTGGACCTGGAAGGCAGGGCGGACGTGGGCCCAGCGGCGGGCGTCCCGTCCGACCCTGTTCCTCCTGCTTGAGCGGCGTCACCCTCCCCCAGGACCCTCGGCCCCCGGTCTGCCCGCCACGGAGGACTTCGACGCCCTGGTCTCTGCTGCCGTGAGAGCTGACAACACCTGTGGCTTCGCCAAGTGCTCGGCCAGCGTCATGACCCTGGGCCAGCTCTGCCCGCACTGTGTCCGCCGCTACTGCCTCGGCCACTGCCTGCCTGAGGTACGCCGGCCGCGCCCGGGGCCTGGGCGGCGGGAGGGGCCGGGGCTCTGGCTCCGGGCTCCGGGGCCTGGGCAGACGTCCTCCAGACGGGACCGGTAGCTGGCCACGAGCTGGAAGTGTCTCCAGGGGTGTTTTCGGAGCCCACCAGGGCAGAAGTAGGAGAAATGCCACATGTGCTCACGACAGCCATGTGGGTGGGAATTCTGGGGGTTTGTTCAGGGCCCCCGGGTTCTGTGAGTGGGGCAGGTGGGGCAGACGGGGCCCCTGGGCCGCCCTCTGAAACGGGCTGGCAGCTGCCCGCTCCTTCCTTCGCTCCTTGAGTTCGTGTCCGCGGGCACCTCCTCTGCCAGGAGTGGGGACCGGGGACCAGAACAGGCTTCGTCTCTGCCCCAGGGGCCCTGGGCCTGGTGCGGGATCAGATTAAGAGACCAGCATGTGGCACCATGCAGTGGGGGTCCTGGGGGCCAAGGTGGCGGCTTCCAAGGCAGTGACGCTGGGGCGGAGACCTCACAGAGAGAGGGTGGTGCGTCCAGGGGGCCCTGCTGGGACACCCCGGGTCTGGAGTCGCAGCTGCTTGCCACTGGGGGCTCTGCCCCGTCGGACCCCAGAAAGTGTCTCCCGAGTGAGGGAGCTTCCCCTCTGCCCACCCCTCTCCACGTCCACGCTGTTGGGACGGTGGGTAGGGTTTTGGAAGGGTCTGTGGGGTGTTTGACAGCCGTCACACCCAAGTTTGGGTGGCCAGGGTTTGAGGGGCTGGACCCCTGAGTGCTTCTGACGGAGTCCCCGCTCCTTGTGCCGCCGGCCAGTGGCCCGGCAGGAAGGCCAGCGCAGCCTCTGTCGGACGGGAAACTCCGGCTGCGGTAGGGCTGCGGGGCCCCCTGCTGTCTGTCTGCTCTGGGACCTTAGCGGGTCCCAAATGGGGTGCCTAGCAGCCCCTGGGGGCACCCACCCTTGTGCAGTGAGGACGCACGGCTGTGGTGACAGGCCTGTGGGTTCGGGGGCTCCTCCGCCTTCCGGGAGGGGCCCGTGCACCCTGCCTACTGCCGTCTGTGGTGCCGGCACCCGGTGGCCCTTCGTTTCCCCTTCAGGCCCCCCCCCCGCCCCCGCCCCCCCGACAGTCGGGAGGAGCGAGGCCCGAGTCTCCCTGGAACAGTGCGGGATGGACAGACTCCCGCCCACGGTGGACACGCACCAGCTGGCGTGTACTTGGGAATGCCGGCCACGGGCCTGGCGTGGGCGTGCGGGAGCGAGGACCGAGTTCTGCCCGGAGGGGATTATAATCCTGTGTTGGGTGCCTTTCGCTTTGTAAACGCAGCCATGGGGGGGCCTGGCCCGCGTATCCTGTGCAAAACTGACGCCCCGTCAGGGAGGCTGGGGCGAGGGCATGGGTGCGGGGCAGGGAGCCTGCAGGTGAGGGGTTGTTTACGTGCAGGAGAGGACGGCCCCTCGGAGCTGCTCAAGCTGGGGGGTCGTGGTCCCCGAGCCCCCCGATGGGCCGGACTGCAGGGCTGTGTCCCCACGTCCCCCCTCGGCCGCCCTGACTCCCGTGTCCCCCCCAGATCCACGGCTGCGGGGAGCGGGCTCGCGCCCAGGCCCGGCAGAGAGTCAGCCGGGAGGGGGTCCTGCACGCCGGCAGTGGGACCAAGGACAGGTCCCTGGACCCCACCAAGAGGGCGCAGCTGCAGCGGAAGCTGGACAAGAAGCTGGACGAGCTGACTGGCCAGAGGAGGAGCAAGCGGAAGGGGAAGGAGAAGTGACCCAGGGCCCTGCCCTGCGGCCTCCAGGCCTGGTTCCCCAGCAGACGGGCGGGGGCAGCGGGCCGCCCCCGGGTGCTTCTGCTCCTTGCGGCCGCGCTCGGTGCCCATGGGAGCCAGCCGGTCCAAGCCAGCCTGCACCGCCTCTGCCGGGGCTCCGTGCCACGTGGGGCCTGTTGGGGGAAGGGTGGGCTTCAGGGCCGGGAGAAGCCGGTGGGGGTGGGACGGGGTGGGCCGGCAGTGCCTGTTGGCCTCTCTCAGGGTCCGGTGCCGGGGGTGGCCGGGGAATGCTGTGACCCTCCCCACTCCCGCCCCAGACCGTCCCCCAGGCCCCCCCTTCCCTCCCAGTCAACCCCGAGATTCCAGCGCCTGAATTCCTGCTGCCACGAGGGACGGGAGGGCCCTGTTCCCTTGGAGATGTGCCCAGGCCTGTCCACTGTCTAGGGCCGGCCGGCCGGCCTCAGGCCCTTCAGGGCGAGACAGGGCTCACGTGCTGGGTGCCGGCACCGCTGGGCACTGCGCCTGTGTGTGTCCCTGGTGGCCGGCTCGCCCTCTGCTGGAGCTGCTGTCGGCTGCCCCAGTGGCTGCGGTGACCCCACCCTGACACCCCCCCCCCCACCCGCAGGGCAGCAGGTGCTGCTGTGAAGTCAGGGGTCACGCTGGGGTGTGGCTCCCGAAGGCCCCCGCGGGGCCCGTCCTTGGCGCTGGGGTTGGGGTTGGTGTTGGTGCCGGCTGACGTGGCTGCTGCGGGGGGACCGTCCCGGGAAAGAGCCCGGGGCCCCAAGGGCTCCCCGAGTCCTTTGCCAGCTGCTCTGTTGCAAGAACCTCAGGTGGATGCGCTGTTTTAGCCTCAGAGTTTTATTTGTTTGGAAGGGATGTAAGTTATTTAAAAATTAAAGACATGTGCACACTGCCCACTGAGTGTTGTCTGTCTGAGGAAGCCCCTCCCCCTCCGCCCACTGGCCCCCGGCTGCGGCAGGTGCCGGGCAGGTGCTGGGCGAGCGGCGTCTGCTGTGCACACCAGGGCGTCCGGAGGCGCCAGGGGCGTCCGAGCGGGCTGTGGGGACCGGCCCGGTTGGGGGTTGGCTGCCCGCCTGGGGCCTGGGGCTGCCCTGGGTCACGGCTCTGTGCCCCCGCCCCCGCCCCCACCGGCTCCCAGGTCTGACTTCCAGGGTGCCCTCCGCCACCTGCCTTCCCAGACCCTGCTCACATGCTCACTGCCCTTAAGTGCTCCTTGGGCCCTGTGGGCCCCGGCGACGGGGACGCCCAGCCTCCCTGAGCGGCCCTCCCGGCGGCCGTGCCCCTGGTCTGTGTCCCCCAGGACCCTTGTTCTGCGTCTCTAAAGTGTCCTCCGCGGCGGGCCCGCGCACCGTGACCCTCTGCTTCTGCCAGCGTGGGGCCAGCTCCTCTCGGGGGCCCGTCCCCCTGCCCGGGCCTGGTGGCCCCTGTGTGCCACCCTGTCGCTCCTCCCCCTTCCCCCGCGTACACGCCTTCCTGGGCGGGGCAGGGACCCCGTGGCACCGGGTGTGAGTGCCGCACTGCCCACTGACGGCTCATGCCAGCAGAGCCCCCATGCAGGAGGGACCTGCGGCATCGCAGGTGGTCAGCACGGCCCTCGTGCCCATGGCGGGCGGGAGAGTGTGCACAGGTGTCTGTGAGGCAGCGCGGCGTCTGGGTCTGGCTGGCGGCACGGCTGTTGCGGGCACAGCTGCTGAAGGGGAGACGGTGCTCTCTCCCTGCGGGGCCGGCAGCCCCTCCCTGCGTTCCCAAGGAGGCCTGCTGGCAGGGGAGACACACCCAACACAGAAAAGCCAGGATTGGGGGCGGGGCAATAACCTAGCTCATTGTGGCAGCACCTGGATCCAGCCACACCTGACCCCTGCACCATTCTTCCCAGTGTCCTGAAGTAGTAAATCCCCTTTTTAGCAGAAGAGAGCCTGCCTTGTGTGTCTGTCAAGGCAGCCACAGGGTCTTTGCCAGCTCAGTGGTCCCCACGTCTGTGTCTGAGTGGGTGCACGCACCCCGTCTCGGCACGGGGACAGGCCGGGCTGGGGCACTGTCCTCGAGAGAGAGAGAGAGAGAGAGTGCGCAGGCCCAGCTCCTCCCCGTGCCCTTCCCATGGCCGTGCCCTTCCCACGGCCATTCTGCCAGGAAGAGCTCGCAGCGCGGGGGCAAGGCTGCTGGGAGGGTCTGGAACTGGGAGCCCCCAGGTCTGAAGGCCGCCTCCGTCCACTGTGGCTTCGGCGAGTCCCTTCCCCTCCTGGAGCCGGTCTGCCCCTCTGTGACGGGACGGGCACCCCTCCCTGCCAGCCGTGCTGAGCGGCCCCCGGGCGGAGCGGTGGGCAGCAGCGCATGCCAGCCGGGGTGCGGGTGAGCAGTGCCCACCGGGACCTGGTGCGGGGCCTGCCCCTGCAGGGAGCGCCCCTCCCTCATGGACCGCCACTCTGGCCAGCTCTGATGTATCTTTAAACTGTCGGGGTTGTCCGGGCTGGCATAGCTCAGTGGACTGAGCAAGGGCCGTGAACCAGACATTGCAGGTTTGATTCCCAGTCAGGGCGCATGCCTGGGTTGCAGGCCACAGCCTCTAGCAACCGCACATTGATGTTTCTCTCTCTCTCTCTCTCTCCCTCCCTTCCCTCTCTGAAAATAAATAAATAAAATCTTTAAAAAAAGAATAATATCTCTAAAAAAAACACAAACTGTCGGGGTTGACGGTTTCTGCATAGAACGTTTCCCTCTCGTGCAGAGACCTTGTTAGGAAGGTGTTGCTTGTCGCTGTTGCTTGAAAAATGTCCTGCTCTTGGTTCAGACAAGGGAGCCCCCCAAAAAAGGAAAAACCGTCTGGAGCCAGCAGTCCCCCCAGACAGCAAGCATGACCACGGCTACCTGGGGAGCTGGGGGGCCAAGGACTCCCCCCCTCCCAGGGGCGTGCCTCCCTCCCCCTGCAGTCTGGGCCGGACAACACAGGAGAGCCCTGGGCTCACGGCCTTTCGGCCCTGGGTTTGCTCCGGACCCACCTCGTCCAGGCCCGGCCTCACGCCTCCCCCACCTGGAGACCGGGGAACGACAGGACCTATGGCACAGGGCTGCTGGGAGGACCAGATACCCGAAAGCACACCTGGCACCTCGGCACTCAGAATCGCCTCCCGAGACCCACGGGCTCCCCCCACACGGGGGCTGCTGGAGCCCAGGCCGCGGTGCTTGGGCCCCAGGAGCCGGTCGGCCGCTTGCAGGGGCTGCTGGTTTGGGAGTCCGGCCCTCATGTGGGCTCCGGGCCCTTCTGAGCCAGCAGGCCTGTGGTCACCCCCCACAGGCCGGCCCGCGCGTGTTTCCCTGGCGTGTGTGGGGCGTGCCCCAGGGGGAGGGGCCGATGGGCACCGCGCTGCTCTGGACGGCCCGTGCCCGGGCTGTGACCTGGCACCACTGACAAGGAGTGGTGCGCCGTGCCAGGGGCGTTGCAAGAGCCGCAGCCTTATTTGGTCTGGAAACTTCTCTGCCTGGAGAAGAAGCAGAGGGAGGAAGCAGGCTTCCCCTCCTCGGGGCGGGCAGACGCTCGGGTCTGCCGGGGAGGGCCACCGTCCGTGGGTGGTTTTGCTGCTTCTCTCCCGTGTGTGGCCGGCTGCCTCCTGCAGCGGCGATTTCCCTCTTGCCCTCCGCGGCCGCCGGCCGGCTCCCCCGTCCGCCCTGCCTGCCAGGGAGCTGCCCCAGGCGGCTTTCCCGCGGGAGGACCATCCACACGCCGTGCACTCACCCGCGGCCCCCAGCGAGCGCCGGGTCAGGAGGTGGGCAGGGCCGAGCGGCCTCCGCCCGGCCGGGACCCCCGGGTGCCGTTTGCCGGGCAGCCTGCGCTCCCTCCCCTCTTCCGTTTGTCGAGAGTTGCTTCTGCACGTCTCTTACCTGATTCCCAAACCGTGAACAGGTCGGCCTCTGCCGTCGGCTTTTCCCGTGGCTGCCGGGGCGACCGTGGGGTCCGTCCCCTACCATGCCGAGGCGGCACAGCACGTGGTTTGGCTACTGAGCGCTGCACCGACCTCGAGCTCCCGGGGTGAATCCCACCGGGGCATGGGGTGTCACGTTGACCTGCGTTGCTGATGGGGGTGTGCAGAGGCGTTTGGGGGCCGCAGTTTCGGGGTGTGCTCCAGCTCTGAGGCGAACCACTTCACGGGGTGGCCACACTTAGATTCAGTCCACGGGCTGAGGTGGCGCTGGCGGGACCCAGAGAAAGAGACCCGCCCGGGGGTCTCTCACGCCCCTCGACTTCCTGTGAAACGCCGCACCCTTCGTAGTCCTCAGGCGCGGGCGGGCAGCGGCATCAGCCACTGGCGCCCCGACCCAAGCTGGCTCTGCCCACCCCCACCCCCGGGTGGGTAGAGCAGGCTCTGTGTGAGGCTGTGCGGTTGGCCTTTCGGGGTCACCCCTGCGCCCTGCCCATCGGGTCATGCACACAGCCGTGGCCACGCAGAGGGGGCGCTTCCAGCTTCTGATTCATGCGGAAACACCCTGGAGACCTCAGTGGTGTTGGGTGGGTGGAGGGAAGGAAGTTGGGGGGGGGCGGGGAGCGCCTGGGGGAGATCACAGCCCAGTGGGTGCAGGTGCTGGAAATTCCTGTCATCTCCGGCAAGTGAAGGAGTATCTTGGTGTCCTGGTCCCGTTTACACCCTGCCCCCCGCCCTCGAGAGGACACAGCTGGCCAGGGACGTGTCCTCCCGGTCCTCCAGCACTAGAGGTCCGAGCACCATGGCCGCGCCCACCCTGTGCGGGGCGTCGGCTCTCTATCCGAGTGACCCCAGAGACGCCACTTCCGTGCAGGAGTCAGCGGGGCCCAGGCTGCGGTGACGCTGAGGCTGGCCCCGCAGCACAGAGAGGCCCGGGCAGGGCCCCGCTGCACAGCACGCTCCGTCGTGGGAGGTGTCGGCCTCATGGGGGCCCGCCCCCCTCAGGGAGGGGCTGCCGGGTTGCAGGAGGCGCGGACTGAGACTCCTGGTCAGCATGTCGCTGCAGCTCTCGCGTAGGAACACAGCCCCCCAACAGCTGTGACTCCCAGCAGTGGTACGAAAAATGGAAACCGTTTTCAGAGCGTGGAGCCCTCCTCGAAAGAGACAAAGATCGCCGTGAGAGGCGGGAGCACGGGGGTCTGTCCACAGTTAGTCTGAGGCGCGGGGGCTGCTGCCGGCCGTGAGGCTGCGGCTTGGGCAGGACTTGGGGTGT